TAATCTTTATGGCCACCACTCATCTATCACTTTGTTGTACTGTAGTGGCTCTTGTGTGTTGTTGTGATGCAATGGTTTAAAATCAGGAAAGGTGTGCATCAGGGTTGTATCCTGTCACCATACTTATTCAATTGTATGCTGAGCAAATAATCCGAGAAGCTGTACTCTATGAAGAAGAATGCGGCACTAGGATTGGAGGAAGATGTGTTAGCAACCTGTGATATACAGATGACACCACCTTGCCTGCTGAAAGTGAAGAAGACTTGAAGCACTTACTGATGAAGATCAGAGACCACAGCCTTCAGTATGGTTTACAGCTCAACATAAAACAAAATTCCTCACAATTGAACCAATAAGCAGCATCACAATAAATGGGAGAAAAGATCATGAAGTTACCAGGGATTTCATTATACTTGGATCCACAATCAATGCCCATGGAAACAGCACTCAGGAAATCAGGCAGACTTACTGCACTGGTCAAATCTGCTGCAAAAGACCTCTTTAAAGTGTTAAAGAGCAAAGTTGTCACTTTGAAGACTGAGGTGTGCCTGACCCATGCCATGGTATTTTCAGTGGCTTCACATGCATGTGAAAGCAGGCAATGAATTAGAAAGACCGAAGAAGAACTGACGCACTTGAATTGTGTTGATGAAGAAATACTGAAAATACCATGGACTGCCAGAAGAACAAACCAATCTATCTTGGAAATACAGCCAGAATTCTCTTTAGAAGTGAGAATGGCCAGACTTCATCTCATGTTACTTTGGTGATGTGAGAAGGGACCAATCCCTAGAAAAGGAAGTCATGCTTGATAAACAGAAACATAAAGGGGGAAGGCCCTCAACGATATGGATTGACACAGTGGCTGCAATGCTGGGCTCGAGTATGGCAAAGAGTGTGAGGCTGGCACAGGACCAAGTAGTGTTTCATTCTGTTGTACACAGGGTCAATATGAGTTGGTGATGACTCAATAGCACGTAATAACAACAGTCTTTACAGAAGCATCTGGTGGGCTTGAACACCCGGCCTTTCAGTTAGCACCCAAGCGCTTTAACCATGTACCACCAGGTGTCCTAGGACTTTGAAGGCTTCTAATAAAAGGAACATAATGTCCCTGCCCTCTTCCCTAACCCTCTCTTACTCCTCCCAAGAAGAGAGATCAGTCGAGATTTCAGGGTACTGATTGGGGCATGTTTTATAATGGAGTAGATCAGTGGATGGATGGATGTTGGATGGTTGTCTCTTTCCAGGGCTCCCTTCCTCTTATCTTCATGGACAGACCTAGAGCAGTGATCTAGCTTAGGTGGACCAGCTTGCTCTTCTCTAGTAACCATTTGGGTTCTGCTTCAGTTTCCTATTTTTATATCAGGTAGGAGGTTATTTCAGGATCAACTTCGGGAAAGAGAAAGGATCCTTAGGCCACAAACTCTTCTCCACTGAGAATTCTCTGCATTGGGGCTTCAGACATGGCTCAGCCAATAGCCAAATACTTCCTTTCTTTATCCATTAACTGTGGTGACCAAGCATGATTTTCCCAGGACAATCTTGGTTTATGCCTGTGGTACTGTGTAATTATTAATAGCTCACCCTTGTACTTTCAAGCTTCCTGGCTTGGAGGACAAGTCATATGGCTGCCTTGTACTGTGTCATTATCTCTCCCAGGGACTTAACTAGGAAGTGATCTAGAATAGAATTTGGATAATTCTTGATTATCAGAATTTTGATTTATAATATTTCTAGTTCAAGAGACGTTTCAGAAACAAAGTGCTCTTCTGTATCTGTACAGGGTCCCCTGTCTGCGGGATTGCTATTCAAGACAACAAATCTCACAAGAAAGGACCAAGTACCTATCCAAGGTATGTCTGTGACAGATAGGAATAGTTGCCAAGTACTTCTGAGAAATAAACACAAAATAAGAGATTATTTAATAAGTCTCTTACTACATAGCGAGTAAAAAGGCCAAGTGGTCGCTTAGGTTGAACTTGAATTCCAATATCTCCTTCTTGTCCAGGAGGTAGAACATTGCCATTTACATCTAAAATCTAGGATAAAACAGAATCATTTTATTTAAAGGACTTTTCATTTAATACCACATTAAAAAATTTTATTTTTATTTTTTGCCACCTAAGAATACCAAACCAAACCGAACTCAGTGCCATTGAGTTGATTTTGACTCATAGTGACCCCTATTGGGTTTCTAAGCCTGTAAATGTTTGTGGAAGCAGATTGCCTCATCTTTTTTTCCATGATGCGGCTGGTGGGTTCAAACCACCAAACTCTGAGTTAGCAGCCACATGTCTTAACCTCTGCACCACCAGAGCCAGACTTCAGAGAATTTCTAGGTATACTTTAAATTCCTTTTTTTTTAAAAAGTATTTATATTTTTATTACATAAAATGCAGCTTACGAAAACATAAAAGGAGAATAAAAATTATCTTTAATTTCACCATCCAGCAATAATCACAGTTAACAATTTGGTGATATCCTTTGAGATAAAATAGAATCACTTTATAATATATTGTTTTGCAACCTGCTTTTATCAGTTAAGGACCTCTGGTGGTATAGTGGTTAAGGCATTTGGCTGCTTACCAAAAGATCAGTTTGATAAGGTGGTCTGCTTCCATGTGACTTCAAATGCTAACCAATCATTAATTTTATTGTAATCTCTATTCCATGCCCTTACATCCTTGATTGGGACCCTCTCGCCAAAATTGCCATTTCTTTTTCCACTTATGTGAGCTGGTTGTTTCCCATTTGAATGCCTCTCTAATGCCAAATAAATCCTCTGAATTTTCATTTAAAGTCCAAGTAGTTTTTCCCCATGACACTTTATTACTGCTTTTCAATTTTTTTTTTTAATATTTGCTGCATGCATTTTATTTAACTATAATTTTTATTCAATTGTTATTGTCATGAAATAAATAATACTAAAGATAAAAATGAAATTCTTCATTGATGGAGTTCTTCCACATCCTGAGCCCATACTAGCATTCTTTTTTTAAAAAATGCATTTTATTGAAATATAATTTATGTACAATGAAATACACAAAACTAAAGTGACATGGGTCAATGTGGTTTTTTTTTTTTTTTTTTGCCATGTTCCCTCCCCTCCTCTCCCACCGCTGGCAACCAACAAAGAAAGTTTCCCTCCATATTTAAACCTTTCCTTGACCCTCCATAACAACGAACTAATACTATATTTGTCCTTCTATGATTGACTTATTTCACTCAGCTTAATGTCCTCCAAGTTTATCCATATTATGCGGTGTTACACAGACTCTACATGATTCTTTAGTGCTGCATAGCATTCCAGTATGTGTATGTACCATCATTTGGTCATCCACTCTTCCACTGATGGGCACATAGGTTGTTTCCATCTTTTTGCTGTTGTAAATAGTGCTGTGATGAACATGAGCATGCATGTATCTGTTCCTATCCTGGCTGTCACCTCCCTAGGATATATACCTAGTAATGGGATTGCTGTGTCAAATGGTATCTCCAATTCCAACTTTTGCTTTTCAAATTTTGTTTAGCTGTGGAACAAACAAACCCATACTTCAGAAGCCCAATTCAAGTAAACAGGAAAAAGAAATATTTTCTCTTGAGACAATGTGAGTAAGCCCAAGCCTTGCTCTCTTTCCCTCTTCCCAAGCCTTGTTGTGTGGTTAGCTACCGTCGAGTCGTCTCCAACTCATAGTGACCCTATGTACAGCAGAACCCTGTGTACACTGCCCAGTCCTGTGCCAGCTCCACAATCCCTGCTATGCCTGAGCCCATTGTTGTAGCCACAGTGTTAATCCATCTTGTTGAGGTCCTTCCCTTCTTTCGCTGACCTTCCACTTTACCAAACATGATATCCATTCTTGCTTCCAAGAAGCATTCTGGCTGTACTTCCAGGACAGAGTTGTTTGTTCTTTTAGCAGTCCATGGTGCTTTCAGCATTCTTTGCAGGAACCACAACTCAAAAGCATCAACTCTCCTTTGGTCTTCCTTATCATTGTCCAGCTCTCACATGCATATGAGGTGACTGAAAATATAATGGTTTGTGGAAGGTGCACCTTAATCCTCAAGGAGACATCTTTGTTCTTCAGCCCTGGAAAGAGGTCTTTTGCAGCCGATTTGCCAGTGCTATACATCATCTGATGTCCTGACTGCTTCCGTTGGTTTGACTGTAGAACTAAGTAATATGAAGTCTTTGACAATGTCAGTCTTTTCTCCATTTATCATGATGCTGCTTATTGGTCCTGGTTGTGAGGATTTTTGTTTTCTTTATATTGAGGTGTAATCCATGCTACAGACTGTAGTCTTCAATCTTCATCAGTAAGTTTTTCAAGTCATCCTTACTCTCAGCAAGCAAAGTTATGCTGTCAGCATATCGCAGGTTAATGATTCTTCCTCTAATCCTGATGCCATGTTCTTCTTCGTATAGTCCAACTTCTTGGATTATTTGTTTAGCATAGAGATTGAATAAGTATGGTGAAAGGATACAATGCTGACACACTCCTTTCTTGATATTAAACCATACAGTGTCCCCTTGTTCTGTTTGAACGACGGCCTCCTGGTCTATGTACAGGTTCCTCATGAGTATAAGTAAGTGTTGTGGAATTCCCATTCTTCTCAATGTTACCCACAATTTGTTATGATCCACACAATCAAATACTTTTGCATAGTCAATAAAAGACAAGTAAACATCTTTCTGGTATTCTTTGCTTTCAGCCAACATCAATCTGACATCTGCAATGATATCCCTCATTCCATACCCTCTTTTGAATCCAGCTTGCCTTTCTGGAAGTTCTTTGTCAATCTACTGCTGCAACCATTTTCAAATTATCTTCAGTAAGAGTTTACTTCCATGTGATATTAATGATAATGTTTGATAATTTCCACATTCTGTGGGATCACTTTTCTTTGGAATGGGTACAAATCTGGATCTCTTCCAGTCAGTTGGCCAGGTAGCTGTCTTCCAAATCTCTTGGCATAACTGAGTGAGTGCTTCCAGCGGGGCATCCGTTTGTTGAAACATCTTAATGGATATTCCATCAGTTTCTGGAGCCTTGTTTTTTGCCACTTCCTTCAGTGCACCTTTGACTTCTATCTTCAATATGATCATATGCCATCTCCTGAAATGGATGAACATTGACCAATTCTTTTTGGTACAGTGACTCTGCATATTCCTTCCATCTTCCTTTGATGTTTCCTGCATCATTCAATATTTTGCCTATAGAATCTTTCAATATTACAACTCAAGGCTTAAATTTTTTCTTCAGTTCTTTCAGCTTGAAAAATGCCAAGCGTGTTCTTCACTTTTGGTTTTCTAACTTCAGGCATTTGCATATTTCATTATAATAATTGACTTTGTCTTCCTGAGCTGCTCTTTAAAATCTTCTGTTCAGGTCTTTATCTTGTCATTTCTTCCATTTGCTTTAGCTACTTTCCATTCAAGGGCAAGTTTCAGAGTCTCTTCTGACATCCATTTTGTTTTTTTCTTCCTTTTCTGTCTTTTTAATGATCTTTTGCTTTCTTCATTGATGATGTTCTTGATGTCATCCCACAATTCCTCTGGTTTTCTATCACTGGTGTTCAATGCATCAAATCTATTTTTAATATGGTGTCTAAATTCAGGAGGAATATATTCAAGGTCATATTTTGACTCTCGTGGACTTGTTTTAATTGTCTTCAATTTCAAGTTGAACTTGAATTTGAGCAGTTGATGGTCTGTTCCACAGTCAGCTCCTGGTCTCATTTTAGCTGAAGAGATCACACTTCTCTATCGCCTCTTGCCACAGATGTAGTCAGTCTGATTCCTATGCATGCCATCTGGCAAAGCTTATGTATACAGCTGTTGTTTGTGTTGTTGAGAAAAGGTATTTGCAATGAATAAATCATTGGTCTTGCAAAATTCTATCATGTGATCTCCAGTATTATATCTATCACCAAGGCCAAAATTTCCAACTTACCAGTGATTCTTTTTTGTTTCCAGCTTTTGCATTCCAATCACCAGTGATAATCAGCGCATCTTGATTGCATGTTCAGTCAATTTCATACTGCAGAAGTTGGTAGAAATCTTCAGTTTCCTCATCTTTGGCTTTGGTGGTTGGTGCATAAATTTGAATAATAGTAGTAGGAACTGGCTTTCCTTGTAGGCGTATGGATATTATCCTATCACTGACAGCATTGTACTTCAGGATAGATCTTGAAACATTCTTTGTGATGATGAATGCCACTCCATTGTTCTTCAATTTGTTATTCCCAGCATAATAGATCATATGGTTGTCTGATTCAAAATGGTCAAAACCAGTCCATTTCAGCTTACTGATCCTAGGATATCAATCTTTATGCATTGCATTTAATTTTTGACAACTTCAAATTCCTAGATTCATACTTGGTACATTCCATATTCTGTTTATTAATGGATGTTTGCAGCTGTTTCTCCTCAGTATGAGTCATGCCACATCAGCAAATGGAGGTCCAGAAAGCTTTACTTTATCCATATCATTAAGGTTGATTGTACTCTGATGAGGCAGCTCTTTCCCAGTTTATTTTGAATGCCTTCCAACCTAAGGGGCTTGTCTTCCTGCACTGTATCGGACAATGTTTCAGGGCTACACATAAAGTTGTCCAGTAATGTATCAGACAGTGTTTCTCTGCTATACATAAGGTTTCCCCTGGCCAATTCTTTGAGAAGTGGATGGCCTTTTCCTTCTCCTGAGTCTTCCTCAGTTTGGAAAATCCGCTGAAACCTGTCCCCCATGGGCAACCCTGCTGGCATTTGAAACACTGGTGGTACAACTTGCAGCCTCACAGCAACATGAAGCCACCACAGTAGGACAAACTGACAGACAAGTTCATCTCCCTTAACTGTTCCAAACCATTCTGCCCACTTCCTGGGCTTCCCCCTCCCTGCTCTGGCCATTGGCCCTGATTTCTTCCCACTCCTGGCTGAGTGGGTGCTCTCCCTCCCCTCACGTGGATCTGCCTGTCGGCCCTGGCCTCTTACCGCTGCTTCCTGCCTTAGGTGGGGTCTCTCCCTCCCCTTACCTGG